AATTTACTTCCGGCCGCGTCTTAAAGCCGTCGCGTCTCGGATCTTAAAGTCCCTGGCCGACGTAAAGAGTTTCAATGCTATGAAACTCTTAACGATAGCTAATTTACGTGATCAATTTAGTTGATAAGACCAAGTTGTTATACTCCTCCACCGACGCAGCACCACAGTTCTTTACAAACTTATCCTCTTTGAGTCAAAATAACTTTGAAATTAGTGATAATGAAAGAATAGGGAAATTTAATGGTTCAGTAAGTACCCCTAAAAACTCTAAGTGATATAAGCAGCTTAAACTTCATTAAATGTATTAGTCACACGTTCAGTCATTCCTACAGTTGCTATTATCCTATTTTTGGATTCCGGATGGTAAACATTATCCATTTCAGGGAATGGTGACTCAATCAAAATTTTTGAGGGCGACAAACCATTCAGTTACGAGGACTTGCTTTCGATGTTTTCTAGTCAATGTCCATGTTAATGTATCATAGATTAAAAGCTGATTCCACAATGGCCCTGATTTCTAAAGGCCGGCTTATGTCGGGTCATTTGATTATTTTTCCGTTATGGTGGTGAAACGTAGCATTGTCTTCATTATAATTGGAATATTTTTGATATAAAAATGCATTTAGCAAGCATTCACAGAAGCAATAAAACGTGCAGAATTTATTAAAAAAATTAGTCTATTTGCACGTATATTGGATATAATATTTCTTCCAGCCCAAGTCGGTGCTGAGCACCTCTTTGGCTATTTACTGTCCCGCATCTAACGCGTGAATCTGAATTAATTGTTAAATAATGTTGTGATGATTTATCAAATCACGTTATAACTAGCTTGGGCAAAACCAAGTTTGCGCTAGATTGGTAATCGCTCTTCTCACGTATAACGCTATCTATGTATCATATATTTTCATTGACTTAGTACCCAAGATCAATTGAATAAATCTATTAATATTTAAGAAAAAATGGTATATATATTTATAACAACCCCACTGACAGTGCAGCCACTTGTCTAGAAAATCCGTTTTTTGGTAAAGAAGTGATGAGGTTTGATGAGAGGTCTCTGTGATAAAATAAAAAAGGAGTATATAGACATATATTACAAACAGTTTCAAAGTTGCCGTCCGTCGTTTGTATGAAAACATGCATATCCCATTTGTTTAACTAACTGTGGTCCTCTCGAAATATGGGAAGCTTCCCTCCCAAAGGGAAATTTAGTGTTATCAACTGAGTTGATAACGTAAATTGACCACCGTAAAGAGTTAAAAAGTCGACATTTCGAGCGTAGGCCTTCGCACTGACGAAGGGCTAACACTCGAAACGTCAGCTTTTAAATTCTTTACAGTGGCCAATTTACGTTATCAACTCAGTTGGTTAACTAAATTACCCCGTTATACTCTCCTACCGACGCAGCACCACAGTCTCTCTTAAAACTTACCCCCTTCCTTCCCAAGGGTTGGTGCATTGTCATTACAACACAGTGAGATTACTTTGCGGGTAGTGTTCCCCGAATCTTCACAAAGATTTCTATCGAAGTCTCTGTGATGTCTCTCCTCTGAAGTTTCCACTATTCTTTAGCATTTTATAATTTTTTTTTTAAATCAGACCCAGATTCCAGTGCAACAAACGTTGGGCCATCATCCCCCTCCAGTCACCGACTGAGTATAATAAAGTGGGTTAAAACAATTCTAATCACTAATATACGGGTATCCCAAGTATGATTGTTGTTACTTACTTCGCAGTCAAGTTTGTGTTGACAAACAAATCAGCAGGTAAAGATGCCAAACGATTTAAATACAGAAACCTGTAAGAAAACATAATCTGCGCTTACTAACTATTTAAGGTTAATAGAGGCAAGTGGATTAATGTACTTTGATATCCTTGGCGTGCCTGTTGTTACTTACAGCGTCTGTAGATTTTTTAAACCGAAAAATACATTTGTGGATAAAGAGACAACTTTGTTGGAAGACAAATCCCTAAGAAAAAAAGGGAGAGTTAAATAGTTATTAGGTAAAAGAAAAGTGAAGAATGGACATTCAAGACGAGATGGTGAGTTTATAATTTTTAGGGTGAAAATATTGAAAAAGACAGCAAATGGACTTTTTAAAGTCAGTTTCGCTTCGCATTCACCATGCTGTAAACTTTGTTTCAGCCGTGATCACTTGCGTTAAAAATTGAATTAAGACAGATATCAATATAGTTTAGTATCTTAAAATGTCCGTTATTTCTTACAGCCAATTCAGCTGTTGTAAATTCACAAACACTTTTTCAGGTAGAGAGATAATAGAGTTGGACGACAAATTCCTGTTGAGAAGAAACTTTTTTCAATAGAAAATAATGTGCACATTTAATGTACGTATTTGATTAAGATGAGCATCTAAAATCTCTTACAACCCTCGAAGTTCCTGTTGAATTATGAAACCTCTATTAGATACAAAGGAAATGGCGTTAAGAGACAAATACTTGGTAAGAAAAAAATATCCCGGAGAAAATATTCTTCAAACAAATTGAATCTATTAATTTTCTAGTATCTTAAAATGTCAGCTATTCCTTACAGCACTACCAGATCTTGTTAATTCAAAAACACTTTGTCAGGTAGAAAGGCAATGGTGTTGGGAGAAAAATACCCGTTAAGAAAAAAAATAGTCTTGAAGATAAAGTTTTTAATCAATTAAAATCAGTAATTTAATTTATTTCTAAGTAGAAAGGCAATGCATGGCGTTGTGAGACAAATCCCTTTCGACAAAAAAAATTCCAAAGAAAATATTACTTAAAAGATTGAATCCGTGGATATATTCCGCTGGAAATATAATACAAACAAGTTACATCTCCTATTTATGTTCTCGTACAGCCTCTCCAACGTTTTTAATGTCAAAAATACTCCTTCTGGTAGAGAGGAAATGTTGTTTGAAGACAAATCCCTGTTGAGGAAAAAAAATACCAGAGAAAATATTACTGAACAGATTGAATCCATGAATATATCCGGCTGGAAATATTATACAAACATGTTAAATCTCTTATTTATGATTAAGGTCCCCAAAACTGTCTGTTCTCTTACAGCTTCTCCAACTTTTCTAAAGACAAAAATACTCTTTCAGGTAGAATGGCAATGCTGTTGGAAGACAAATACCTGTTGAGAAAAAAAAATTGAGAGCAAATATTATTGAAACAAATTGAATCCATGAATTTGCCAGCATTTTAAAACGACTGGTATCACTTACAACTTTCGTAGTTCTACTAAATGCGAAAAGACATCTTCAGGTAGAACGTCAATGGCGTTAAAAAACAAGTCCCTGTTAGGAAAAAATAACCTTGAGGATATAGTCAGTTAAACAGTTTAAATCAATCATCCTGTGGAAGCTCCCTAAAATATCCTTAAAGCCCTTCCTGCTCTTGTTTAATCAAAAAATACTCTGTGAGATAAAAAAGGCAGTGGCGTTAAGAGACAAATTCCAGTTGAGAAAAAATATTTACCTAAGGAAATAGCATTCCAACAAACTGATATCATTTATTTGCCAGACAGAAAGGCAATTGCGTAAAAAGACAAAAAACGTTGAGAAAAGATATACCCCGCAGGAAATATTAAACAAACAAGTTAGGTCTGCGATTTTATTTAAGGTCCCCAAAAACGTCTGTTTTCTCTTACAGCGTCTCCAACTTTTTCAAATTCAAAAATACTCCTTCAGGTAGAAAGGCAATGCTGTTGGAAAACAAATAATCCACGGATATATCCACAAATAACCACGGATATATCCCGTTGAAAATATTATATAAACAAGTTAAATCTGTGGCTTTAATTAAGGTTCCCAAAAATGTCTGTTGTCTCTTACAGCCTCTCCAACTTCTCAAGATTCAAAAATAGTCTTTCAGGTAGAGAGGTAATGTTGTTTGAAGACAAATAACTATCGGGAGAAAGAAAATTACCAGAAGAAATATTATTTTAACAAATTGAATCCATGAATATACCAGCTGGAAATATTTTACAAACAAGTTAAATCTGTGATTGTGATTAAGATTCCCAAAAATGTCTGTTTTCTCTTACAGCGTCTCCAACTTCTCTAGAGTCAAAAATACTCTTTCAGGTAGAAAGGCAATGCTGTTGGAAGACAAATCCCTGTTAAGAAACAAAAATTATCAAACGAAAATATTACTGAAACAAATTGAAACCATGAATATACCAGCTGGAAATATTATACAAACAAGTTAAATCTGTGATTGTGATAAAGGTTCCCAAAAATGTCTATTGTCTCTTACAGCGTCTCCAACTTCCCTAGAGTCCAAAATACTCCTTCAGGTAGAAAGGCAATGCTGTTGGAAGGCAAATCCCTATTGAGAAAAAAAATACCAGATCAAAAGGCATTCAAATGAGTTGTTAAAATAAACTTGCCAGGCGGAAAGGCAATTGCGTAAAAAGACAAATACCTGTTAAGAAAAAGATATATCCCGCAGGAAATATTGTACAAACAAGTTAAATCTGCGATTTTACTTAAGGTCCTTTTAAATGTCTTTGTTCTCTTACAGCCTCTCCAACTTTTCTAAAGTCAAAAATATTCTTTCAGGTAGAAAGGCAATGCTGTTGGAAGACAAATTCCTGTTAAGAAAGAAAAATTACCAGAAGAAATATTATTTAAACAAATTGGATCCATGAATATACCAGCTGGAAATATCATACAAACAAGTTAAATCTGCGATTGTGATTTAGGTCCCCCAAAAATGTCCGTTTTCTCTTACAGCATCTGCAACTTCTCTAGAGTCCAAAATATTCTTTCAGATAGAAAGGAAATGCTGTTGGAAGACAAATCCTTGTTGAGAAAAAAAATTACCAGAGGACATATTATTGAAACAAACTGGATCCATAAATTTGCCAGTTTTGTATTGACAAACAAATCAGCAGGTAAAGAGGCCAAACAATTGAATACAAAAACCTGTGAAGAGAACATGATTCGGCGTTTACTTTCTATTTGAGGTTAACGATAGCAAGTGGATTAATGTAGTGATATCCTTGATATGTCTATGGCCACTTACAGCGTCTGTAGATTTTTTAAAGCTGAAAATATATTTTTGGATAAAGAGATAATTTTGTTGGTAGACAAATTCAACAGAAAAAAAGGAATTAAGTAATCAGTAAGTTAAAGAAAAACGAAGAATGGACATTCAAGACGAGATGGTGTTGAGAAATAAAATTGTTATAGCAAACATTATTAAAACAAATTGAATTCATGAATTTGCCTGTATTTTAAAAGGGCTGGTATCGCTTACAGCTCTCGCAGCTCTACTAAATGAGAAAAAACACCTTCGGGTAGAACGGCAATGGCGTTGAAAGACAAAGACCTGTTAAGAAAAAATAAACTTGAAGATATAGTCAGTTAAGCAATTTTAATCAATGATTTTACTGGAGGGTCTCCAAAAGTATTCTTAAAGCTCTTCCCCCTCTTGTTTAAGCGAAAAAATACTCGCTAAAGATAGAAAGGCAGTGGCGTTTAGAGACAAATCCCAGTTGAGGAATAATAGTTACTAATGGAAATAGCATTCAAACAAATTAATATCATTTATTTGCTAGGCAGAAATACAACTGCGTAAAAAGACAAGGTTCTCAGGTTATTTTATTTCAAGACAAATGCCCATCGATGCATAAAGATAGATCATTTCACCAACCGCGCGGTTCCGTTTCTACATTGTCTAATCGTCAAGTCCTTCGTCAGCTTTCCGTTAGCAAAAAAACTTTAATTATTTAATGCGATCAAAGGATTCAGCAGTAGAAATCAATTCATTTATTTTGCCTTTATCGTCAATGAAAAGCAACGAAAATAAGGTTCAACTCTCAAACCTCAGTTGCGAAAAGATTGCCACTTGTTAACGAGTAACCTACCTGGCATATACTAGCAGTAAAGAGGAGTGTGTGTGTGTCTGTGTGTAGTTAGAGGTTGGTAAAGCGAAGGGAAGAGAGATAAAACTTTAATGCCTTTATGACCCGATAGGACTTTGCCGTTGGATGTCATATATCTGACGAGCTTCGCCACCTATCTTACAGTGTTTCAATCGTCTGCACAAGACAAGGTGAGATTTGCATCACAGTCACATTTACGCAAGAGAGAGAATTCCCTCCATAATAGCTCAGACTAGAGAAACAGTCAGGTCCGCAATCTAAAAAAAAAATCGAGAAACATCATATCGATACAAAACGCATTGTCCTGAATAGAAATTCTTACATTTCTAAAAGGACCTCAAGAAGTCAGGACTCGGACGCCAGGGTAAACGTCGGCGAAAAAATTTCACCAATGACTTGGCGTGCTTACTGTTGTTGAAGCCCTAAATGTAATAACAGTTGGTCCTAAATGTAATAAAGCCATAAATGAAATTAGAAGATCCTCGCAGCTAAGAACACTACTGAAACTAGTAGTTGT